TTAGCGGATCGCATTGCCAATAGCTAGACTTGGTTTTCCTAAGCTAATTAATACTTGATGTTTTAAATTGTGAATAGTTAATTCAGTGATCTTTGCGCTAACTAACTACTTGGTTGAATTTGCCCCTTGCGAATAGTTAGCATCTGATACACTTCTTTATGTTGCTTAGTTTATTAACGTGTGTCTAATTTTATAATTAATTTTTTTATTAGTCATGGAATTTGCTTATATTAGGAATATTTGGAGGCAGTTGACTGCACCCGATGGAATTTACTTGGAGCACTTCGATATGTATCAAGCAAAACCGAATTTACGAGCAGTGATGTAAATGTAATCTATGAAATGTTTAGAAAGTAGAGCAGAAGATGATAATTTATTAAAACCAGCACAAAATAAGGCTCGACAGCTTTCCCAAGAGTTAGACATAAGCGAACCGGCAATCAAAGAATTTCTCGATAGCCAAGATTTAAAATTAACCAATGTTAGTCATACCATACGAATCCGTTTTTAATATTCACTGATAAAGTTAAATTGATATATCGCTGTAGGATAATGTCGAGCATGGTCATAATATTTTTAAAGAGAGAAGAAATAACAAATTGTTTGTATTTTTAATGTTATCATCAAAAGAACTTTATTTAAAGGCAATGGAATGTTTCTAAATTTTATGTATTACAAACAAAATTTATAGGCTGATTCAATTTCATGAAAGAATGCAACAAGATTATGCTACCCTTTACGAACAAAGTAGATTTTGCGACGTAACCGTTAAGATCAGCGATCAAACATTCATGGCACATTATTTAATCCTATATACAAGATCTTCTTTTTTTCGTAATGCCTTATCAAAAAGCGTAGGTCAATGCGAGATTATGATTCCTAACATCACTCCTAAGGCGTTCGAAGGGTTACTAAAGTAGGTACAATCTATTTTTTTTTAAAAAAAAAAAAAAACACAACGTTCTTTAATTATCGATTTATCTTTTTTATGCTATAGGTACATTTATTGTGGAACCATCGTTTCATTGGCCGACTCCGAGGTATTCGATTTTTTATACGCGGCGATCAAACTTGAGTTAGATGAAATTGTAATTTGAAAAGTACAACGAAAATTGTAATATTTCAATCGGGTAATGAGCGCCAAGGGCAATTTAGTTGCCCAAATTTTCTTTAAGCTATTATCCTGATAGAAGAGAAAAAAATTTGTTTACACGAATGACGAGAAAATTTATATTTTATTTGTAAAATTAAAATTGTAAGAGGAAAATTTTTTGTATTTTTTTTTTATCGATTCACAAAAATTTGTGCTATTCATTTTTTTTTTAAAATAAATTTTCTCGAAATGGTAAATTAATAAAAAATACAATTTATTTTTAAAAATAAATAAATTATAAAGTATTTAAAATTCCCAATATACAACAAACTAAAGCAATAATCATAAAAGCAAGATTATTTTGAATATTTAATGAAAATATCTTGACCAAAATTATCTATTATTATTTTGGGAAGGATTATCATTTGTTGGTGGTATCGTTTGTTGTGGACCAGTAACAATTTCGATTACACTGTTTCGATTTCAGTTACAACATAAGTAGTCTTGGTTAAAATATCTTCCGTATTACTTTGCTGGACAGTTGTTGTTGATACGGGAGTTGTTGATTCTGCGGTCGTTGACGATGGTAATGGTAAAATTGACGGTGAAGTTGGTGATGGTGATGAAAGGATTTTACAAACTTTGAAATTATTTTCTGGTAATTTTTTAGTAGGACATCTAAAATTGTTTGAAGAGATGTCAATTTAGCTAATATATATTACATTATATTACATATTCACTATTACAAGTTTGGAAATATTATCTCACCCCAAAGTTTCCAATAAAGAAATTAATTTAGGACCAAATGGACTAGGAAACTTACCCATGGAATCTTCTAATGACTTACCGTTTGTTAAAGTTGAAACCATTAAGAAATCCTCGGTGTTAGCATAAATGCTAGCATCAAAATTATTCATAC